TAAGTCCACAATTCACACCAATTAAATGGTAATTATTATACCAACTTATCACCTTCATCTTCCTCATGACTTATTTATGCATCATCACTTCAGTCGTTCTCGGGTTTCTCCAGATTTCTCTGTTTTCCGTGCATCAACAGGTTTTTGTTGCCAACACTTTTTTGAACAGTGAAGGTCATGTTGCTATGGGAACAGCAGTTTTACCCAGTCTTATTCTCTCTCCCACACACACAGACACACACAGGCACACACACACACACACACACACACACACACACACTCATTTTCATATCTTCGTGAGGACGTCTCATTGACATAATGCTTTCCCTAGTCGCTTACCCTAACCATCAAAAATGAATACCTAAGCCTAACCCTCAGCCTAAACCTAAACATAACCAAATTGTAACCCTGATACTAAAACCAGATGTGTTTGGAAACACCTCACACATGTTTGCTTTCAGAGATCTTTGGCCTCCACCACAAACTAAATAGGATAAAAGATTTTCCTGAAGGCCGCAGGATTCTGGCGCCCTCCAGTGGCCACCACATTATCACAGAAGGAGACAAAATAATACACTCATGCACAAAAGAATGTGTCAGAAAAAATGCCTTTTACACAGATTGCAAAACAGAGACCACCTAATATCCACGAACTTGTAGTCTTGCTGTCGCTCTGTGGTCGGTGACAGGTCATATAGACTGCACAGGGAGCCATCTCATGATGAAATTTCAACATGATTACAGATTACAGAACAAAACTTCACACGGAGGAGTTTCAGTGATTCAAATGTCTTCATCCAGCAGGACTGTTCTGTGTTTGACATCCTGATCAGTTAATCAGTTCGACTGGGAAAACAGATCTCTTAATTGATTCTTTCTGCTTGTGGTTAGGGTTAAAGGTCAGACACTCTGTAGAGGAACTGGCTGGTGGCTGGAGCTATTACAGTGAAATCTGGGTAGTGATGATGATGATGATGGCAGGCTGCTGCTTATGTATGAAACACAGACATTTATTTCCAGTCTTATTAAAAGCGGCACTAAGCCCACACTGTCATTTCTGTGGTATGAAAAGTTCCCCCGGACAAATAGAAACACCAGCAGTGTCACTCTGGGAGAATAAAACTTGTCGGTGAAGCCAAATATACTCATTATAAAATAAACACTGTGTCACTGCACTCCTTCTACATTACACAAATGACTTTAATTAAGGATGCTTTGAGCTGGAAGACTCTGAAACATTCCCATGATGCTTGAAGTTGGTTTTTCTTCCTCTATGGAGAGATGTTTTGGAGTACACGTGTCTCCTTGGTTACAGGGGTGAAGAAGTGGACTGATTCTCAGTTAAAAAAAGAAAAAGAAAAAAAAGTGGCCTGAACGCCGTGAGAATGACACAGTTTCCGTGACTTCCAAAGACACACTGAAGCCCGCACAGTGGATGTGTGTTAATGAATATCAAATTATCTACAGATCGCCTCGCGCGCGTCACCGTGTTCATGCTTTTATGTCCAATTCAGTCTAATCTGAACGATAAAAACACAAATGTGTGAAACCAGAGAGCCTTGGCAATCATGGCCCACATCACGCGTTCTCTACGTCAGCAGCTGCACGCACGCACACACGCACACACACACACACACAGACACGCACACATTCGCTCCGTGTGCAATGCTGCTGCTGCTGCTGCACGATAAAACGTGGTCGGTACCGGGATGATGGACCATCGATCCGAGGAGATGCGGGAAAGAAACCATGGCAACGGGATTTTGGGGCTGAGTGACGCAGGCGGTCGATAAGGGTGGGTTCAGGCAGCGCGAGGACCAGACATCCGCGGATCGATTGTCACAGGTACTGATAGGTGAACCGGGCGCGCTCGCGCGTGTGTGTGGCAGCACAGAAGCTGTCATCAGTCTCGATATTTCGGTAAGAACCCGAAGAGCAGCTCGTTGTCCTCACAGCTGCAGGCAGATGTTCGAATAATCAATCAGTTTCTGTCTGCGTGGCTCAACTTTTACGTTCTAACACCTGCTCGTGTAATAACTGTGAACGAGCCCGCAGCTGTAACAGCTGGACACAGAGTGGGCGGGCTGATTAATCAGTGAAATCCTGTTCAGTGTTCATACTTTATGCTGCAGGTCATTCGACAGTCTTTTCTTTGATTTGTGCTCAGGTCTCATTTTTTAAATTCTTAAATTAAAGTTTTCTCGTGTCACAAATCAAACTTTTCTATTTTTCATGTTTTTTTTTAATATATTTACATTTTATATTTTTTTCATCACAGAACTAATTTTACTTAATTTCTTATTTTGACCTTTCTTTGTAATGTAAGTATTATTTTATTTATATTTTAATTAATTAGACTGTTTTGCTTACCTTTTCACTTATTAGGTTAAACGTTTTAATTTTTAATTTTCCAATTTTGATATTTTTGTGTCAAAATTTGACTCTTTAGTGGCATAATTTAGACTTTTTATGTCAAAATATCTCAAAATTCACTTGTTTCTTAGTGGTTAGTTCTTAAATGTATATTTTTCTTTCAGTTTCAGTTTTCATTTAAAAATGTTGCTGTATGTTTAAAGCTTTAATTTTTTTGATCACTTTTACTTTTTATCTCATGATTTTGATTTGGTGACTCAAACATTTTGGTTTGTTAAGCTGGTGTTGGTCTGAGTGACATAAATTTAATCATCAAAGGCCTCCACACCAATTTGTTTGTGAGTGTAAGGACATTCAGTAACTGCATAACTCCCTTAAAACAAATGTAAAAACTGAACTGTGAACAAACCCTCCTCTGTGGCACACAGAGGTGGAGCATGTGCTGCTTAAAGCACAAATCTGCTCTTCTTCTATATTTGTATAAGCTCTCAGGCGAGTTACTGTAATGCAGCAGCCCCTCGCTGTAGTCCGTACCAAATAAAAACTCCTGAATGAAACATGGAGGGCATGGAAAGAGGAAGAGGAGGCTGAAGTAGGCGAACACAGAGACTCCACGCCCCAGACGTTTCTTTCTTCCTGCTCATCCATGCGTGCTTAAATTCCTCTGCACGGGTCTGAGCAGCGGCGTGAAAGATTGCTGCCTCACAGAAACAAACACACACATGCGCCCCACTAACATCAGACCCAGCAGCTCGCCACAGGACACGCATGTGACGCTCCAGCATGGATCCGGCTTATCCGTGAAGAATGAATCACACACACGTGTTCTGCTGTTTTTAATGTTCAGGTCTGAGCCTCGTTACATCTTCATCTGCATAGAATCAATTATGTAGAGCTCACACGCACTCTGACCCAGTTTTCACTCCGGTTTACTCTGTGTGTTTCTTCTTCTACTCTTACTATCTCTGTTGCAGTCTCTTTGTTGTTCCCTAATGAGCTCATATCTTTTCTTCCAGGTCTGCTGCTTCCTCGTGAATCATGTCTTCCTCCTCGTCCTCCTCCTCTTCCACGGAGCTGCCCTACTTCTGTCCTCGCTGCGGGGATGGGTTTCGGTTCTCATCTGTAGCTGAGCTCCGGGCGCACCTGGTCAGCCGACACACCTACGAGACCCTGCTGGTGCTCTCCCAGGTAACCAAGCAAATGATCATTTTCACTGATTAACTGCTAAAGTACCTTTGTTGTGGAAGATTTCATGATATGTGACAAACTAAAGAGATTTGAGTTTACTGTCATGTGGAACAAAGAAATAATGTGTCCTCCCAGAGGCCACATCGTGGAAACGATTGGAATTTGGACACATAATAATGGATCTGATTGGGAAATCTGTCTGACATCACCCGGTGAATACGGAATATGGATGGAAAGCAGCTATACAGAGCTACAGAGACTCATTAGTTACTCTACATTAAAACAAATTGATGTTGTCTGTTTCATTTTTCAGCCTCTCAGATTTAAGATTTTCTCTGTTTCTGTTTGACACCTGCTGGTAATGAAGCTAGCCAACACTACATGACTTTGGTAGCTTTAATTTCCTAGCAAACATGGTTGAATTCCCAACATAATCTGCCCGGTCATAACTAATCATGCTAGGACTGCAAAAATAAACCATAGATCGATGGATGTTCGTGCTGTTTTTGTGAGGTCGTGTCAGACCTTAGAAAGGGAGAAAAACTGACCAGATTATTGCAACGAAGAAAATAAGTGGCTGTGTCTGACAGTTAATCTGGTTAGTGCATGATTTGTGAATAGAAACAGACACAGGCTTTTATTTTTATTTTTCTAAATAATTAAGACTCTTAAACTGTTTAGATTTATGTAAATTCTGTCAAGCATCACCTCTCTGATCCTCATGTCAGCGTCATAAACTCAGGGATGTAACTAATATTGTGAGTTTGAGACACCCATGAAATTTATACCAGTGCTATTCGTTTCTTCTTCTTCATTTTATTGAGAATATTTGAGTTCTTTGCATTCTAAAAGCGGTGCAGGACACATTTGAAGACAGCGAGACAGTGGTGGTAGGAGTGGCAGGTGGGTGGAACCACATTAGGGTTTGGCTTTACCCCCCCTTATTTAGAGGTATGATAGACAGGTAGAGGAAGATAGAGGAAGTCAGACGGGAGTCTCTGTGGACTCTGATGTTTGCAGATGACACTGTGTTCTATAGTTTGAGCAGGGAGAGGTGGAGGTATGCTCTGGAGAGGAAAAGATGGTGAAGGTGAGTCAACCATTCAAAGCAACAGACAGTGCACAAGAGCGATGAGGAAGAGAGTGCAGGCAGGGTGGAGTGTCAGGGGTAATTTGTGAATGAACGATACCAGCAAGAGTGAAAGGAAGATTTACAGGATGGTTTGGAGACCATTGAGACGATCCAGATCTTCCACCTGTAACTAATTAATTTTTTTTAATGTGACCAGCCCTTGAACTGCGTCACAAGTGCCAGTATTAACTTTGTCTTAATGTTTCAGGCTCGGGTCAGAAGCTCCAGAACCAGTTCTCTCCTCCCACTCCCTAGCCCAGCTGTATCCCAAAGTCAGAGCACTTCTCTGGACATGGAACATCAAAGCCTGCCCCTGCCACTGGCCTGCTTGGATCTCGCCTCATCATCTGCCTCCGTCCAACTGCTCAGGGAGATGTTCGGTGCTTCAGATTGCCCTCTGCCTTCCTCTACGGTACATTCAGAAGGCCCCTCCACTGCTCTGGCCCTTCCTGGATCTGTGGATCTTTTTGCTGGGAAGAACCTTGGAGAGGTGAGGGTCCAGCTAGGCTTGGTGGAGATTGGGCTGGAGGAGCGACTGGGGCTCGGGCTGGATCATAAAATCGCCCGGACTTTCGCGGAGGTTGAGGAGAGGGTGAACCGACGCATGGCCCGACTGAAAGTGGAGCTACAGAGGAGAGAGATGGAGCTACAGCGGGCGAGGCGAGACAAGGAACGACTCAGGAGTGAGAAACAGGAAGTGGAAGAGAAAGCAGCCTACCTGTCCCGACAGGTGGGTGGGGCTTTAAGCAATGTTTTAAACACGATTTCGAAGTCGCTATATATTCACAGTCCTATTTTTGTATTCTTGCAGGTCTCAGCTGCCATGGAGATGATGGAGAAATTAAAGAAAGATCTTACAGGGAAAGAGAAGGAGCTCAGCAAACGACAACAGTCAGTATCTGGAAGTTTTGTGGATAAAACTGTGTTTTCAGGATTTATTTTCCCTCTTTTTATGGAACAAACAAGAAATTTTTTTAGATTAAAGTTTTCTTCATTGCACCATTGTTATTATTCATTTATGATCAGCCACTTTTCTATGTTCTATGGACTAGTCATCACAATAACAATGGTAAAAAGTTTAACATGTTCGCGTATTTATTTTAAACAGTGTACATTTTTTAACTTGTTCTGTAAATAAACAAGGTTGAAAAGACTAAACAGCAGTTTAGGGCTGCAGTTCCCCTATTGTCCACTTGGGGCAGGGTGTAAAAGTAAATGAGTGCCCATAGACTTCCATGTTAAATTTTCCAACTTTACAGCAGAAATAAACATGTCTGCAGCCTGCTACAAAACCAGTTTCTGTTGGGTGTTTTAATTTGTTTATATCACACCTTTTTATTTTGTATGAAGGACTAAAGTTTGGAGTCCCTTTGGATTTATCACCAACAAAATGACTAAGACATCCATAAATTCTTCTGAAAATGATAGAAAAAAACACTTTTTCTTAGTGTAGCTTTTACCTATATCTTACCAAGCTTTAAAGTTTCCTCTAGTACTACACTCATCACGTAATAGATCTCCAAGCACTGCAGGCAGCAACTGCTGAGGTTGTTTTTGGCTAATTTTACTCAGCCCTCAGTGGCAAACTTGAACTCTGGTGTAGAATGTAAGGGAAGTATGTGGAGCTGAATGGGGTCAGATTTAAATACCAAGTAGGAAGTGCTTTGGGCGTTAAAATCTTTTGCACTCGTATCCTCTTTCAGCAGTAGATGCAGTGTGGCAGAATTTGTCGTGTGGTCAGTTTTTGTTTGTGGAAAATGAATCACCAATAGCAGAAGCAAACAGCATGTAATGTAATATCATGAAACTACAGCGCGCTGAGCACAGAAACACGGTGCACAGGCAGAGGACACGTCATGTTTAATCTGCCTCACTCTGTGTTTCTCTCTGTCTCTCTCTCTCACACACACACACACACACATACACACACATACACACACACACACACACACACTGCTGCGCTTTACTGGGATGATAAATGTAAGATGACAATGAGGCAGAGCAGCCCGAGGGTGTGTATTTTTGGGAGGTCACTCGGTTTGTTTTGCGTGTTTTTTGTGTCGTCTATCTTATTTAACTTATTTATCATTTGGGTCGCTGAATAATGTGTACATTCTGAACTGTGTGTGTTTTGCAGGGAGATGGTGGACATTGAGCATTTTTTGAGGGAGACGGCAGAGAAAGAGGCCGAAGCCAAATCCAGGCTGCAGGTGATGCAGGAGATCTTCTGTTGTTGCTTCTTTTGTAATTAAACTTTGGGTGGTTTATTTTGATTTGTTTGTCAAGAGCGATGCGTGAGATTAATCTGACCCAGCTCACACAGGGTAACCTGACAGTTTTTATAGTGGGGTTGGCCAAGATGAGGCTGTTATTTACACATGAAACTACGTATTGGAGGGGGGCAAGTATGCAGCATGTGCACTCGTCTATGAAATAATCCTTTGTCATTCAAAACCTGTAAAGTGTTATATTATACTTTATATTTTAACTTAACCTTTTCTTCCCACATAGTTTGATTAGATTTTTAGATTAGAGTTTGGGTCAAAATCATAGAGTTCATGTACAAGAACGTGTTCAGATTCCAGAGAGAAAATAAAGGACACTGGAGTTAATATACAAAAAGCGAGCTTTTGTTGGCAACTTAAGAAAACTCCTGCAAAATGCACAGATGTTAATTCTATTGCAAGTAAAATACGTAAGTATCTGTCATAGGACTCCTTTCAGGCCTTAGTGTCATCCACGCTGTTTAGTCTGTGGGCCCACAAACACTGTTGTCACTCAAACTAGAACAATTTTAAACAATTTTAAAACACATCCACTGAAATTGGATCTTAACTCACACTGAGTTAAGAGACCCACAATGAACATGAGGAACACGGGGGTGCACATGCAGCGCAAACAAGAAATTTAACTGACACGGGTGCAGATAACAGCGCACACACACAGTGAAACTAATGCGAGTGGCGTGAACAATCATAAAGGAAGGAAAACTACAAGACATTCACAAAAATACCCAAAATATTCAATTTCAATAACAAACCCAAAAGTGACTCATCAAACATGCTCTAAGGCAAACCCTGCCTTGTTTGCCTCGTCCTCTTCCCCTACTACAGCTTTCCAGCCAGTCCTGGGTCTGTCCCAGAGCCTCCTCTCAGTTGGACATGCCCAAAACACCTCACCCAGAAGGGTCCCAGGAGGCATCCGAGTCGAAGGCTAACTCAGTGTGGAGGAGTAGCGGCTCTACTCAAAGTACCAACCAAATGGCAGAGACCCTAAACCTCATTCTTTCTGTCACTACCCAGATCCTGTGGCCACATGTGAGGGTGGTAATGTAAAACAACAGCTTTACTTTCATGCTCAGCTCTCTTTTCACCACATCAGACCGGTACAGGGTCTGCATCAATGCCACACCAGTCTATTCATCAATCTCCTGCTGCTTTCTTCTCTCACCCATTAACGAGACCCCGAGATACTTGAACTCTTCCACTTGGGGTAGCGACTCATTTCCAACCTTGGCCTCAGACTTTGAGGTCCAATTTCCTGATCCATGCTGGAGCTCATTGCTCAATAAAGCCATCAGAACCAGACTGTCCAGAAATGTCCTGGTGAAGTTCAAAAGCCACTGAGCACAAGTCTGTCTTATTGCCTTGGGCAAACGCCCACATATTCTTGAATATCCTTGAGAAGAGCTGGTCCAGTGCTTCCTGACTAGGATGAAAACCTCATTGTTCTTCTTGAAGTGTAACTAAAGACAGCCTCTCTTCTCAAGGACATTGGCTGCTGGCGATGCTAAGGACTGTAGAGCTGGAATGAGATATTCCACTCAATTCAGTTTTTTTTAGTCATGTCTTGGTGCTTCATAGTGTAAGAGAACCTCTTACAACTTCATGCTAGTTCATGATTGTGGGGTGTGTTAGTAATTCCTATCAAAAACCTTTGGTATTCAGATGCAGCTTACAGTAAATATACAGAAGTCGGCAAATCGGATAAAATCTTTCTGTTGTGGTGCTTTGCTTGATTACAGATGTTCATTGAGACACTGCTGGAGCGAGCAGATCACGCAGAGAGACGGCTCCTGATGCTTGGCTCGCACGAACATCGCAACCTCTCCCCAGACAGTGACGGGTACGCATACACCGAGCCCTATGTGCTCACTGAGGTTTACGAACCTACACGGAGCCAAGGGGGACGCAGTCTGGATGGCAGCACTGATGACATCATTGCAAATAAGATGCAGGAAACCATTGGAAACAGGGTGGGAAATACAAACAAACATCTTTGATTAAAGTATTCGTGAGAGTATGTATTGTCTATAGAGAGGAGCAGGACCTGGATTTGTTAGGTCTCACTCAACATTTCCTCATCCTGCTCTTCCAGAGGAGTTATAGCGTGTCGAGCTCCTACAGGCTGGGAGAGCAGCTGCATGGACACCATCGCTACAGGTACCTGAACACACCTGACTCTTTTAAAGAGTTTACAGTGTCAGTGAAACGCTCACACCTCCTCTCGGTTTCTGTCATCAAGTGGTCTCGCTGGACGAATGCGAACCTCGTCTCTGGGTTCGGGAGGTTGGAACTGCGAGGCGGCATCAACCCATCTCCATCTGAATCCCTACGCCCAACCCTGGACTCAACGAGAGAGAGGAGAAGGAGGAGAAGATGGGAGGAGGGAGAGGTTCTGGTATGCAGATGTTTGTTTTGTGACTTTTATTTTGAACGGGGCTTAAAATTTTAAAGAGCAAGTCTTTCTTCTGTTGTGATTTCAGGGCTGCGGAAGAGGGATGGGGGAGAACGTGGAAGAAAAGAAACTTTCGTCACCATAGCACTGAGGAGGAAGACGAGGAGGAAGAGGAGGGAGATGAGGGAGATGAGGAAGATGAGGAACTGTGGACCAGTGCTGAGATGAGGAGACTCATCTTTGCCAGGACACACACACCTGTATCAGGTATATAATTTCTGCCCATCATTCCTGTGGTCTTTCTTTTCCCCTCTGGCTGTTACAGGCTGCTTTAATGCAACACTTCCTGTGGCTGCTTCACAATAAAAGCTTCTGCCTTTCATTACTCTGCTCTCCTGACCCAGATACCCCCTCTTCCATCCGCTCCACACCCTCCCGTTGCTTTGGTGACAGACAGCTGGTAGCAGACACCCTGCGGCTGAGGGCGGGCCTTTTTTGCATCTTCCCATATTTGGACGTGCGCTCAATGCTGCTTGCAGCCGAGGTGTGCTCTGATTGGCGGTTCGTTGCCAGGCACCCTGCTGTTTGGACACGCCTCCAGCTGGAGAATGCCAGAGTGTCTACAGAGGTATCGAAGTCCTCATCATCTTCAAATAGTTACTAATGTCATCCTCTTATAGCTGTCCCTGATAATCTGCTGGCCATGTAACATTTAACATGTGACAGTCATGGTGACAGTGTAGGGTGGAGGGAATAAGGCCCCACTCACACAGGTTTAGAAACTAGTCAGTGACGCCCTGGCAACCACTGGTTGCTAGGGGAAAATGTGTATTGTGCATGTTCGCAAAAACATACATGTGATTGCTTTAGTCACTAGCAGAACGCCACTTTGCATGAAAGAAACTGAAAACTGCAACACTAACCACTTCCTGCTTTCAGTTTGGGTATTTCCATCCAAACTTAAGCTTGGCTGGTTGGTTTTCTTTTTTGACTTCATACTTGAAATTTGTTTTTTTCCATAATTTTAGCCTTGCGATTACAAGATGGAGCATAGTAGCTTCAACAGAAAGATAAAAGAAAGAGCAGCATCTATACAAAATAAATATGTGTTTGCTTTTTGTCTCAGTTTTAAAATTGTTGCTAATTTAAAACTGTGTTCACACATAGAAACCTTAATATGGCAGAATATTCTTTATTCAGTAATACTCCAAAATCAGATTTTTATTCAATAAACAGTTACTGTCTTGTAGTATTAAACTGTGTGGCAGAGTCACTACATGAAAGATGTTGTCAGGGAAAAAATGCAGGAATTACTAGGTTTATACTTTAAAATGTTTATTTCACATTTAAAATGTGTTTCTTTGTGTGTAGTTCCTGACGACGCTGTCACAGTGGTGCACTCAAACTCAGGCCGTGGTGCTCAGCAACCTGAAGCCTCGAAGTCGTCGAGCCAACGAGACGCGAGAGGATTACCACAGAAACATACGGTAAATTAAACTCACAAAGGTTTGACTTTCTGTACTTCTGACGGCCCTGGTTGTAGCCCAAGCATAGGTTAAGTCTTTAATGTTACTGGCTAGCCAAAATGTCCAGACGGTGATGATTTAAACCAAAAATAACCACTGAGTCAAGCCCTCATTCAAACCTAATCATTTACATTTTGAGGATTAATTTTTGTCCCCACGGTGTGACTGTGTGAGTTGTGTCCCTACAAAATCAAAAATCCAAGCCCACACACACACGCCGCTCTCAAGGATTAATGCTGCTACCGAGGAAATGTACAAGCTTTTCTTATCTTTTTGAAATGCATGTTGTCATGGTAACGCAGCTGCTATCTGATTGGTCAGTGCTCAGTGCATTAACAGGTTTCTGAGACGTTCGTTACAAGAGAAGAAAGCTGTCCTCTGAGTGCACAGTGGGTACTGTAGTTGGCATACGTCTGTTTGTGTGTCAATCAGAGGGAGTGTGGAGCCTGGGGTGGAGGCCCTGCTGCGGTCAGCAGGGGGCAGCTTGCTCCACCTGTCTATCTCTCAGTGTCCCCACATCCTCACCGATAGGACCCTGTGGCTGGCCAGCTGCTACAGCAGGAACCTGCAGATGCTCACATACAGGTAAGACTGTTTACCTGTCCCCTTCTTCACCTGTCTGTCCGCTTACTCGACTGTCTGTCTGGTCATCTGCAGGAGTTCATCAGATCCTCTCGGTCAGGAGGTTCTCTGGGCTTTGGGTGCTGGATGCAGGAGCATCACCAGCCTGCAGGTGGCGCCTGCTCATCCCTGGTTAGTACACACACACACAGTCCACTGTGATAGCTCCATACTGAAAAACAACAAACCTGTTTCCCTTTTTCTAAAAAAAAAAAAAAATCCTGTCCTGTCTGCTGTGAATCCAGTCTAGAGTGCAGGAACAAATGAGCAGATTTGAGTCACCTTGACACCAGTCTTTTTCTCTCTTCAATATTTCCAGCCAACAGCCAACTCGTTTTGGTAACCGCTGCTTGCAGACAATTGGCCGTTGCTGGCCACACCTCCGCTCTCTCAGTGTGGGCGGAGCTGGCTGTGGGACTCAGGGGTTGGTTGCTGCTGGTCAGTGAAAAATATGGTTATTGACATTTTTGTTTCATCTCCTACATGCTTGTACAAATGAAATCCGTAATAACTGTAAAGTTACAGTTTATTTTGGTGTAAAAATACAATGCATTATACCATTAGCTGTGTGTGGTTTTTTGTTGTTGTGTGTTTTGTGTGCAGTACGCAACTGTGCTCAGCTACAGGTGCTGGAGTTGGAGCGTATTACTGACCTCGGCCTGCAGGCGGCGACAGAGCTGTGTAAGGCTGGACTGAAGAAGAACCTGCAGACGTTGATCTTGACACACACGCCCGTGAGCGGTCAGGCCATCCTGCACTTCCACAGTGAGTCTCTGTAACTGAAGGGAACACAGAAATGTGAGATTATTATTAATCAATGATTGCTGATGACTCCTCTGTGTACCTGTGCAGGTGAGTGTGAGAACATCAGGTCAATCGTTGTCGAGGTCTCTGCGTCAGATTACTTTGAAGAACCGGACACTGAGGAAGCACAACATCTGTTTGGAGAGATTCTCAGTACACTGAAGGTGAGTTATAAATACTGCTCTTTGATTGCCTGTCAGGAGAAGCAGACAAACATTTATTTCAATGTAAAGTGTGCACTGAGACAAAATAAGACTGGGCTTATGGACAGGGGGCTAAATCAGCTGCTCCTCAGCAGGCTCCACAAATATGGGCAATCACTTGAGGAACTACAAAAAAGCCAAGTATAAGACAAAGATGGATTATTTTTAACTGTGAATCATGAAAAGCTCATCTAGAATAAAAATGTGGAACAGTAAATGAGCAGAATAGTTCCCCTCAAATGTACTTCACTTATGTTTAACATGAAACATTAAAACATCAAATAAAACACAAATATAAACAAGAGTAGCTCACATTTGCTGCTTCTCCCACAAGTTCCTGACACTGCCCCCTGGTGACTGTACATAGCTACAACATGGGTCTGCAAAGCTCTGGACTTGGGTTTGATGCTTTTCTTGGAATGATGTGCCTGAGACGTGCCAGTCATAAATAAACCCCGCTCTGAATTGCTCAAATTAAGACAAAAACACTTTGGTCACTATCGGCTTCATGAATACTTAATAAATCATCACAAACATCACAAACAACTGACATCACTGACAGTCACTTTACAACTTACTTTGTTTTTAGAACTGCAGAAGCAGTTCTACAAGTTTTTCAAGCTCTCAAAATACCTCTGCAAGTGTGCTTTCAACAAGCAGAGTGCATCAGTTCACTCTGCACTCGTGTGATTTTCGGACATTTGTGATAAAGTGTCTACAGACAGAAACCCTCTGATTCAGTACAGGATACATCCGTATAACGGTGCAGGCATACAAATCTGTACAAATGCAATCCCACAACGTCAGACTCAGTGGTCAGAACATGCTTGTACTACTTAACCACAATGTTTTTGTATTTTCCTTTAAATCTGTAAATGGTCATGGTTGGATTTACCAAGGATCTAATTTCCTGGAAATAAACCCAACTCTGGACGACTTAACTGGAGAGGAAGTTTTTTTTAGGTCAGCCTTAAAACTCAGAGAGACTTTAAGCACAGTCCACCTTCATGTTGTCATTTTTGTGCCCCTTCAGGTTCTTCAGACGCGTCCTGGTGTGAGTGACGTCCTGCGAGTTAAAGCCGACAGTTTCTCCTGACCTCAGCGCAAACTGCTTTCTTTTATACGTGAGAACGTCTAAATCTGGGTTTTGTTTTTTGTTTTTTTACCTGAAGCCATTAATCTTTCCCTGAACTAATGTGTGCAATATTTACTACACACTGGCCCAAACTGAAACTGTTTTTTAAGGAAATAGGTTACCTGTAGCTTGATTTATTTAAAAGAAAAAGAAAAAGAATAAAAGGTATTTAATGTGTTTTTAGGAATTTAGGCTAAAATAAACCATACTTATCCCTTAATGCTTGTGCTAAACCCATGCAAAGCAGTCAAGTCCCATGGCGTCAAATACTGCCACTCTATCTGATGCTGCTGTTGTCCTATTGATAGGTTTCCTTTGGCTTCATTGTCCTGACATATCTAACAGTCCTCTTTTAAAGCTACTTATTTCAAAAATAGTTTAAATCCTTCAAAATCAAATTAAAGCTGAAAAGCTCAACAGAACTAAACACTGTGTTAAAGAAAAAGCAGTAGTTTGGTGTAATACCACTGTATACCCAAAGAAAGTGCAGCTACTCAGTGGAGACTTTTTTAACCAGAAAAATGATTAAAGTTATATGAGAAAAAAACCTCTCAAGGAGATTGGGGCTGCTAAAAAGAAATTAGTTAGCTGTAGGCACGGAAAACTACTTGGTCAAGTTTGTTTTTGTTTTTTTGTTCAATAAGTATGGCCTTATGTTAAAAACTTTTGTTTAAATGGCATGATACGAAAGGGCCCTTCACAAGCGTCGATACATGAAGAACAAACACCACTTGTCATTTTATCTTTGAGATGCCACTGGCTAAGAAACATGGCAGTATTTGGAACTCTTAGAATGAGACTGAGACTTTTATTATTATGAACAGCTTCTAACATTAAAAATAAGACTTAAAATAATTGTATGAGTCACTCATTGAGTGAAATGAGAAGGCAAGACCTCAAACTAAAATCTTGATCCTTTAACTTTTTACTTAAAAGTGTGAATAAGAACTTTTTCTACCATAGTGACCTCTTTTTTAGCACTCTTTCTCCTCACGAATCTTAGAGCCCTTTAACTTTTATTCATCTCTTCTATTTTTGCAATAACTCAGACCTCAGCAAAGTTGAGGCACCTCTAATAAACCTTTATTTACCCTCATCAAACAGAACATCGTTGTTCCGCAAAAAAGAGCCATACTTGTTGTATTGAAGTAATCGTAACCTTTAGTCTTACCTCAAGTTTTAACAGAACCCTTGTTCATTATTTTTACCTTAAATATAAGCACAAGAACACACATATGCACAAAGATTTTTTGCACAAGCAAGCAGGGCGCATTGAATTATGCCCCAAAGATATCAGTCGAGCAATCATTGAACCAACCTGTCAGTGAGAACTGCAGATGTGTTGATAAAAAAAATGTCTTTTAGCAACCCCTAGAAGCTGCAGATGCTACCTGTGTGGTTTCCCCATCAATAAATCACTTCCTCATCAGGTTTGTGTCTCCTCTTGATTAATTATGTTATAAAACAATCAAGATATGTTCGTCTTCTACAATCAAAGGTTTCTGTTTCTAATGTTGGACTGGAATCTACTGTTCTTAAATGTGCCCTATGCAATGCTTTGTCACATGTGAAACACTTTGTATTTCCACTTAGAAATAAAAATGTTCCTTGAGTCTCTCAGTTACCTCAAACAGCCTTTGGACTCATTCCTGTCTGATGAACGTGAGATGGAAATCTAAAGGATGTGACGTTTGAACACAAAAATAAAACCTGATGTAGGGCTGCACACAGGATTTAGGCCCCAGTCGCACAGGCTTAACGATCAGGGGTTGTGAGGGCAAATTGTTTGCAATCGACCCCTGAGAAGTCGTGGCTCAGTGTTTGTGGACTCAGTCATTTGGGGATTTTTGCTTAGAAGCTTACCGATAATTGTTTGCAGAACCCCCTGCCGAATCTTTAAACTGTTTAAACTATAAAAAATAGGCATTTATTGACAACATTGGCATTTTTTTTTACCATATCCAAAATTTACGGTTTTCAACAATTCATGCGTGCTCTAGGAACGCAACCCTCGTGAATTCTGGGGGTCTACTGTATTTGCCAAGTGATTCCTGGAGGTTGAGACCTGTTACTAAAGTTACATTTGCTGAGGCTTACAGAATCACTTCCAAAATAGAAAAAAGTTTATATTTCCTGACCTATTGGTGACTGGTTACCAGTAGTTACAAGGGGAGACTGGTTGCAAAGAGGTGTACAGTGCTGCACCAAAACCCTCATTCTTGTTGGTTTGGTTGCCCAAACAAGTGTGTGGAAAATGCAAACTATGGGCAAACAGCTGTTCTGTATTCTGAGCTCTAGTGAAGTTAGAAAAAGTGAAATGGAAATTGAAAATCGAGGACTCTAAAAGTAAAAGTTATGCCTGTGCATTGTCTCCGATTTTGGTTTGCAAGTTTCCTACAGCTCGGTGAGTTGTTAGCGAGTGTTTCGGGACAAGCTGGCATCTTCCATACAATATTCAGGTGACTGTGGCAAACTGCTAGCAACCAAAGCAACCAAAGCAACCTTTGTAACTGGCAGGTTTAAGTCATGTGACAGCAAAACCTTAATATGTTCTGCCTTTTCAGCTGCTGTACAACACTCATGACATACAGTATAGAGTAGTAATACGTTGTAAGTGGATGTTGGGGGTGATAGCAGCTCGCTGCCTGCAGTTCAATTAACAGCCACAGGGGTCATTCATAGTAACAGCTTTTTGAAGATTAAATGTGAGCCACATTATACCCACCACATTGATTGCTTTGGGCGCGAGCAGTGATGGCATCACACAACCATATCCATTTGTAACTGCCATACAGCACTGTTGTACCAAGGGCAAGAACGGTGAGTATAATCGCCGTAAAAGACATTGAGAACCACCAGGAACACAAACGTTCCCCCTTCCTTCAGCTCCTCCTGTCTGCATCAAGTCATATTTTGCCAAAAGGAGACATCCAGCTTCTTCTGCAGCTTCCGAGATACACAGTCTGAAGCACAAATATCACCTGGTCAGCGTTGATGGGGTTTTTTTGTTACAAAAAAATCCAATCAGTGTATAAAACTGTCTCTGTGAGGTCTGAGTTTCAGTCAGCAAAGCTCTGCGGATGACATGCGGTTAAGATAAAATGGGCTAAGATAAGCTGCTACACAAAGAAGGTCAGGAGCAAAGGTTGTCCCCGTGTGTTTACACCTGTGGGAGTGAGCGACCTTTGATCCCGAGAGAGTGACTGATAGAGAGAGCATGGTATGAAGTAACGGTAGATGATGTGTTTTAATTTGTGTGAGAAAAAAGTGAGGATCCCAGGCAAATCTGTGTGGTTTGGCTGATTGTGTGTGTGTGTGTGTGTGCATGTATGTGTGTTTTGGTCACCATGGTTTTCCTCAGACGGACACTGCTGCTTCATTACGTGCTGCTGTCGGCCATGTTGGCTCTGCTCCTCTTCGTCAGCTCTTTTTGGCTGCGTGAGTTTCCTTCGTCACTGTTGGTTCCAACTCTCAGTTATTTTCTACCACAGACTGTAACAAAGTATATTTGCTCATGTAGTGTTAAGACACTTAAAGATGATCTATTCTGCTTATTCTGTCATAAATAACTAGATACAGATATATGAAAGACCATACATTTTATATGGTCAGAGTTTCAAATATTGAGTTGAAAGTATATAAATTCAACCTCGGGAAGCAAAACTTCACTCCTAGACTCTGTTTAAGTTTACAAAGCACTGGGTGCTTCCCCTCAACAGGTTTCCAGAAGTTGGCCAATCAGGTGAAGGTGAGTTTTTAGGGAGGCTCGAGATAGTTTGTGTTTGGTTTTGTTGCTTTGTTTTTGTATCATTTGCATTAGCAAGCAAGCTAAGGTTAGTCAGTAAGTGCTTACCTGATATTATTGGTATCAAATAATATCAGGTAAGCTAATGTTTGCTGATATCAGCCAGAATCACTGATCTGATAAACGCCTGCCTGGCTTACTCTTTGTAGGGGAAAAAAAAATAACCCTCAGTAAATAATCACGCTAGTAAGGCTTCATAAAGTAATTTTAGCATCAATGTTAGCAAGTGAGTTAAGGTACCCCCTAACCCTAGCAAGCTAACCTGAACTCACTTTTTATGATAACATGTTCTACAGATAAGCTCATGTTAACTTACAATTTTATCCGGTAAAGCCGTCTTCCTAGCTTTTTATCAGCCTAAAATACCCTGCTACTTAGAAAATGTGACATAAAGTGTGGACAGAGAGAAAACTAGACTTCAGCTGCCCCTCAGCAGGCTTCCAGAATTTGGCCAGTCAAAAGTAAGTGAGCTCATCGTGTAAGTCGGGCTGTATAAAAGCCCAGTATAAATAACAGAGCTACTCTACGAGTCCCAAAATAAATTTTAAAAAATGTAACAATAACGCACATTAGATTTTTAGAGTTTGGAAGTACTGCACTAGCTACTTTTATATTTTCATTTTACATTTTACAACATATGATGAACCCTAAAATCAAAACTACATTACCAGAAATCCTAAAGTTAATAATGTTAACTGAACATTGCTTCTTTTTAACCAACTTTATTACCAAATGCAATCATTTAATATATTAACTCTGCAATTATTATGAGTCACAGCTGATGAGGTTTGCATTTTATTTGTCTAACCAGAGGTTTGTTTGTTTGGTTTGTCATCTGTTTGTTTCAGCCCAGGGTGGAGTCCGGGACTGTGGCAGCCCCTGGCAGCCATGTTTGCGTTTTTACCACCAGAAGGTAAGATTAATCCCACTTATATACATTTAAGTTGCACAATAAATAAAAACCTGTAATGTTAACAAAAAATCTAAACCTTTAAAAAGCTCTTCTGAGTGATCTAATCAAATTTTTCTTAGAGGACTGTTGTTTTGTTTTTCCAGAACACCTGTACAAATACCAATGTCTGTTTTAAGACCTACCTGGTGAAATAAAGCTAACAATGACTTGCTA